AAAGACAGGCAGGGTCTGACTGTGGAACAGATCAATCAATTTAAACTGATTAAAATGAAAAGAAGTCTAGAACAGCCGAAAGACGACCTTGAGTGTATTCCACCTGAGTTTCAAGAACATCTCAAGAACAGATGTGATGCACTAAACACTTTTGACAGGAGACCTGATGAGCTGTGGGATGACATTAGCACATCATGAAGAGAGCAGAAGGTCCTTAACAGACAGGGAAGAAAGAAAGGATCAGTGTGGCTGTCAGAAGTCTGACATGCGCCCTTCCTCTTGAAGTAGCTGAGGCAAACCGGAGAAATGAGGGAGCCAAAGAACTGAACAGCCAACAAATGTAAAGGGCAGCATGAGAAGACAAAGTTAAGTATTATCATGAACCCTGGAAAGAGCTAGCGTTAGAAAACCAAAAAGGGGGGCTGACTCCAATCCCAACTACGTAGACAGACCCCCTCCCCCCAGAAGAATTCACTTCAGGGGACAGCACTGAAGCTACAGCTCAGGGAGAGGGACATGTCTGATCAGAGCACACAGAGCAAATGAAGGGAGAGGAAGAAAGTGGAGTACACCTTGGCCCACCAAGCCCTGAGGACCATATTCCTGCTCAGAGCAGCCAAAGCACAGAAAGGACCATAGGATCGGCTCCACTGCAAGACATGACATCCCTCACTGACCCATCGCCCTATGGGGGACAACACTGGAGACACAGTGTGGGAATTGTGCCCCATCTGACCCCACCACACCAAGGCAAAACACAGGGCGTGGAACAGAACAGCAAGGGGAACAGAGCAACAAAGTCCCCAGGGAATACCAAAAATAGACTTTGGGGCCAGGGCTTGGCGCCCCATCAGACTCGACCAGAAAACACTCTTAAAGGCTAACAAACAGTCTTGAACTAACTACAATCTTTTTCTTTCTTGTTGTTGTGTTGTTTTTTTGTCATTGGTTTGTTGTTGTTTCATTTTATTTTGTTGCTTGGTTTTGCTCTGTCTTGTTTTTGTGCATGTTATTATCTCTGCAGGTCTGTCTAAATGAAATAGGCTGGATGAACAATCTGGAGGAGAAAACAACAGGACTGA